CCAATGAGTAACCCTCTACACCACCAGGGCTCCTCCACACAACTTAGTGATGAGAGCCAAGTCACCCTTGGAGCAAACTCGAGAGGGAGCAGTTCTGCACACAGGCCAGGCGCCAAGTCCTGGGAATAGCAGAAGTGTGTTTCAGCTCAGCACTCGTGGCTGCTCTAGAATAGCGTTAACAATGCTACGACTATCGGAGGTATTCACGCTGCACCTTGGAAGGGGCAAGAATAAATGGGAAATGATGTCACTTCCAATTGATTTAAAAATAAAGGGAGAAAATGAAGTGTCACTTACCTGTAAGGTGCCCTGGTGACACAATGGTTAAGTGGTTGGTTGTGAAGCAAAATATTTGGGGGGAAGGGGAGAGTTCAAACCCACTCGTGACTCCACAGGAGAGAAGGCCCGGTGGTCTCTTCCTGCTCTGTCACACGGGTCATTGCGTCAGGATCCAGCCTCCAGCATGCCATCAGCATGGCCACCACCACCACTTACTTACCTTTGACATATTGGTCCCACTGCTTTCTGTAGCCTAAGTCCATATAGACATCTGCTAGCAGAGCTGGTGGGCAGTCCTCCAGGACGCCAAAGACTTTATACTCATAAAGGCCGCTCTGCTGTAAAAACAGAACAAATCGACACAGTCCTTTGAGTTCCCAGGTTGAGAGAGAGTTGAATGAAAAACAGCTGGGCGTATAACTCCACACACTTAGTGAGTCCCGCTCTGGCAGCCCCTGAGACACAGTAGTGTTGGTGAGGCCACTTCGCTCATGGATCTTGAACTCAGTAGCAGGGGCTCCCTGTAGGTCTTGGCCATGTTCATTGTTAGATGCCTGTGAGTCGGCTCCGACTCATAGGACTCCGTGTACAGCACAACCCAATAGCGCCTGGTCCTTCGCCATCCTCACAAGGGTGTAAGTTAAGTGTGAGTCTGTCATTGCAGCTGTTGTGTCATTCATCCTGCAGAAGGTCTTCTATTCCATTGCCCCTCTACATTACCAAATACGACGTCCTTTTCCTGGGACTGGTCCCTCCTGATTACAAGCCCAAAGTACATAAGGTAAAGTCTCGCCATCTTAATTTCTAAAACATCCTGCCTGTACTTCTTGCAACACTGACTTGGTCTTTTGGCAGTCCATGGTACTTTCAATGTTCTTCGCCAGCACCAGAATTCAAATGCAAAGGCTCTTCTTTAGTCTTCCTTATTCAATGGCCCCGGATGGTTAATTAGCACCTCAAACTCAATTTGTCTGAGATAAAACTCTTCATTGTTCCCCTGGGACACAAATCATTTTCTCCATCTCACACGTGGAGCTCCCATCTATCCAGTTGTTCCTGCAAAGGTTCTCAATGTTATCCTTAAAATTTGTTTTGCTCCCCCTTATCCGACAGCCAACCTACCAGCAAGTCCAGCTGATTTTACGTCCAAAATAAATCCCCCCAATCTTCAACTCCTATCACTATTGTTCTTGCCTCACTGAAATCACTGTCTCTTGGGTAAGTGCAGCAGTCCTCTGATTGATCTTGCTCCGTGGGGATCTAGTCTCTATTAAGAAACAAAAGCCATTGTTTGAAAATGTTAACCAGGTCCGGCCCGGCCCTGGT